TAAAGAACATTTAGCGCGTTATGTAACCCACATGATGTTAGTTGGTGCTACATATAGACGGTTGATAGGATGGTGGTGGAATAGATTTCAACTATCACTCAGAGTAGTATTGAAATGTGAGACCAGGTCAGAGAGCGCTTTATTGCGTTCTTAGAAGATAATTCTATGTCCAAGAGACATTATACTCCCATGGAGAATGTCACCAAGAAACTTAGAGAAATCGTCTGGGGATGGCGTGTACTTGGGGGAGGGCGTGATGGCCCGACTTCATTCAATGCACTGGTCAGGTTAACGGGGGCTATGTCACTGACCACATGCATCTAGAATGGTGATGGCTGGGGCACCGGCGTCTGGAAAGGAGACGTTGTCATCGGAACCCGCAGCGGCAATGTTCCAGCGCCTGAGAGAGCGAACGGAAACATTCCCGGGAGGAAAGACATCCCTCCGTTTTGTTCACACATGGCCATGACCTAGTCAAAACCTTGGATCGCCTGCAAGGTGGCCGGGTCATTCATGAATTGGGTCATGCTTGGGGGAAATGTGACTCTTGGCCGGGTAGACGGGATGGAGATCGTGAATGGAGCAGTGATGGTTGGTACCGAAATAGGGCTTAAACCCATTGACATCACGGCGGTAGAGTGAGCTGGTTGGGAAGTGACCACCGACATGGTCATTCCTTCAGTGACGTGGTAGCTTGCACCAGGGCAGAAGTTCTGTTGTTCAATTGGCTTGGAGACATTCTGAGAAAGTGGTGTTTTCGTGAGTAGGTTTTTTGGATGAAAAAGAAACCTTATCGGTACCGCGGGTGGTGCCAAAAATGATGGTGTAAATTAACCACCGGGTAAACAGTACTAGACCGAGTCTAAGATTGTTTACTAGATTCGAGAAGGTGAAAGATAGTAAATGCAAGAGTTAACCAGGGGGACTGTAGGTGGAGACACATGTAGCCTAATTGTTATTAGAATATAGTAAAGTGCACGGGAGCTATTACACAAGGGTTTCAGAGAGAAGAATTCAGATCTCTTCCTTTGAGTGTTATACAGGTATTTATAAGGAAAGGGAGGAGACAAAGCGTCGCGCGTCCAAGTCGAACCATGTTATCTGACGGTGCAAGGTGACTTCCCCTTTTGTCTTGTAGCATTTTGTGTCATTGCCTTGTCATTTTGTGCTGGTGACTCCACTTTCGGCGTATAGCATCCAACAGAGATTGAAGGAATATTTCCCCAATCCCTCGTTGAAAATCGGTCACTACCGTCCAAACGATCTTGGGGCTATTCGTGCCGATACTTTTACACCGTAGATAATTACACGGTAGGTTTATCCTTTATGTTTCAAAGGGTCGGAAGTCCGCCAGGTCAAAGTCATATACTCTGACCGGTGGATTTATATACGGCACCGGTTAACTTTTTCAACTTTAACTGGTGGCCTATTTTTAATTTAAATCTTTTACGCTGTCACGTCTGCAACCTAACCGGTTACTTTATGCGGGCCAATTTTGGACCAGGTTCTGGGTGGAATACACCCAGCAGTATCACAGTTCCAATGTTACAATTTGGTGAGTGTGACGGTATAGCAATGCCAGTGTGAATTCCTATTTTGTTCTTAAAAGACTTATAACTCCTGTTTTAGTATTTTTCATAGTTTTTTTACCCATAGTATTTTTCATAGTTTTTTCTCCTTTAAAAATTACTTTTACCCATATTAATTCTTATCTTACCTATCATATCATACTTTTTTAATTTTTATTAATAAACAACTCATCAAATCTTATTTTCCCATCACACCAAGAAAATATTTTTGGACAGTCAATATAAAAATATTCTCTCTCTTAGATTTCGTAAAATTTAAAATGAGAACTCTATGGAATGGAAGAAGTAGCAAATAATGAAATTAACAAGTATATGATGTTATAGCTTATTTGTCTTCATTTTTGATGACAGAGGAGAAAAAGGATTACATATGACAATGAATGACTAATCTGGATTCATATACATACAATCAATGGAGAAGAGATTTTAACTAATGAAAAATAATGAGTATTGATGTGTCATGTCAAGTCACCATTGTAAAGCCAATGAGTTTGCTTAAGGCCCGGTTTGGTACATGGAATTCAAACCATGGAATTGGAATTGAAGATTTCAATTCTAATTCTGGTGTTTGGTAGCACAAAAATTATGTGGATTTGGAATTGATAGTGCAAAAAATGAATTGAAATTGGCAGAATTCAATTCTATGGAATTGAATCTCATGGAATTTAAATTCCAATTCAATTCCAATTCCATCAATTCTGTATACCAAACGAACCCTAAGAAAAGATGAAAAAACAGTTGTCAGCAGGGCACGAAAGGGTGCTTTCCCAATCAGTAAAAAAAAGTAGAGTAGAAATTCCAAAAAATCCAAACCAATTCTGTTTAGTGTAAACCGTGTTCCCCAAACACACTATTGTCTATTTATTTAAAATTGTGTTCAGCGAACACAATGTACATTAAAACCTGCAACCAGTACCTATAATTTTTACTCCCTCTGTTCCTAAATAGATTACAAATTGCGGGTTACGAAGTAAAATTTTCTACTTTTTAAAATCATTTTATTTACAAATTGGTATATCAATAAGATATAAAAATTACATATTAAAAACTACATCAAAAGTTCTACAAAACAAGAGGTGACAAGAATATTTTATTTTATCAAATACTTAATGAAATCGAGTAAACAAACAAAAGTTATCGAGATGAGAGAGAGAAAAATTGTAATCTATTTAGGGAGGGAAGAAGTATAAATTTAAACTCATTCGTTTACTGCTTTGGCTATGTTATTTTTACGTTTATTTCTTGGCTTTGCACCTTTTTTTCTGTTTTTAGCACCTATTGTTTTTTTATCTTGCTTATTTTTGTTTTTTTCTTTTTTTTTCATTTCATTCTAGTTTACGAGATTTGATTGAAATTATTTTCGTTTTGATTTACTCCTAATCTATTTTGGAGTTTAAATGATATTTATGCCACTTTTTTTCTCTATTAAGAAGTTTCACGCTTTTATTTCATGTTTCCTTGTTTTCACAAATATATAAAAGAGTGATTCCATAATTGTTTCTTTATAACAAAGAGACTTCCATATTTAGTCCTTTATCATCAAATATTACATTCATATTTATTTTATGAGCGTTTTTCCATAAATGATTCTTTTTTAATCTTCTGTCATGTTGATATTAAATTACAAGCTGAAAATATATTTTGACGTTGACCCTATGTCCAGTGATGTACTACCTCCGTTTCTCAAAAGAGTTCATCTTTTGACTTTGGGGGAAAATAAGGAAGTGTTAAATTGTAGTTGACTTTTCAATTTTGCCCTTGATGTGATGGGTAAAAGTAAGATGTGATAGTTTAGTTGTTAGTGAAAAAGTATGATGTGATAGGTAGGGTATGAAAAAGTAGGGGTAAAAGTGGTTTTTAATAGAAAGGAGAAGTGTTTTAAGAAAAACAAAAAAAATGAAAGAGGAAGGGTTTTAAGAAACGGAGGGAGTATTTCAATATTTGTTAAATGAATAACATAAAAATAATGACTATGCTTGTGGGCTAGGATTTCGACGAAAGAACATATTTGTAGACTATGGTGTTAGTAAAAAGCGATTGTAATTCACAAATGACGCATCAGGAACAGTCTTTGAAACTATGTATGACAACAAGGACATATTATCATTGTGAAATTATATTGTTAGCCCTCAAAAAAATATATAATATTTTGTTATAATTCTTGACTCAAAAATAAGAATTATTTGCAAAGTCAACTTTTTTCGTTGAAAATTAGGTTTTTGGGTAGATCTCGTGAAATGACGACCAACGATATAGATCCCTCAGAAACCACCTGGTATGGTTTCTAGGGCAGGGAAGTGTCGGCAGAGAAGAATGCAAAGGAGCTTACTTGGACTGTAGCGACCAAGTTCAACGAAGAATCAAGGGAGATGCTCGAGTAATTCGTCTAGAACACTACGTGACAAGGAAGCCACCATCCTCACTAGGTGACTGTCGATTATTTATGTTCATACTTTATAGCTTGTGTTGTAAAAAGTTATGTGACACTGTACATGTGCACATTACTATACTTTTTGGTAATGTGCACGATCATGTTTGGTAATGTAAATGCATTTTAAGTTTTATTTCAGGAATAAAAACATGAAAGTCCTATTTTGGTATATTTTCAATGTTTTAATTCTACTTTGATCTTTCTCATTTTACTTTACCACATATTTTATTATGAGAAAGTTATCTAAATAAGACTAAAACATATGGACTTTCCCAATATAGAACAATATATTTTTATTTCTCAACGTAGGACCTTTGGTCATTATCAATTAGTCATTTTTCAAGTAAATGTCCATCATTACTAGACATTATTCTTCTCACTAGACATTATTAAGTCCTATTTAAAAAATAAAAAAGTTTAAGACTTACATTGAGAAATGACTTATGTTTTAGTCATTTTTAGTGCAAATTTCACTTTTTAATTATTTGTTGAGTAATACAACTATTCTATTATTGAAACACTTTTTGTTATGCTATACAAATTTATAGTTTCAATCAATTAATTATTATTATTATTATCTAGTCTTTTTTAAAATGAGTAAAAATATAATATAACTACTGCACAATAATTTATTACTCCGTATCATTTAGTGTATAACCATTACACCATATATATATATATTTAACTATGTGAAATAAATATTGATTTTTTAATTAAAAAACAACTTGTGTTCGTCGAACACAAGTTTAATTAGTGTCACATGGAAATTGAAAAAGTAAGTAAGTTGTGTTCAGCGAACACATATTCAATTAGGCACTTTTAAAAAACACTACTTCGTGTTTGGCAAACACAATTTTCATTGATTGGAATCTGACAACAAGATTCTTTACTGATCGGTAATTGCTCCGGCACGAAAGAGGTAATAAAGGAATTCAAATATGGACAGTGGTCACCATTTCCTCTTTCCCTTCCCTTCCTCCACCATACTATAGTCACACTAAACTTGACATCAAAGTTTGACAGCAGATACTCAGTGTCTTCTGTTCATGCCTATGAAACACATGATGTCAAACTTTGCCTTCAAACTCTGGTGTTAAAATTTTTTTACCCTTATTTATTTTGGTCGTCTCAGTTATAAATAATCGCCAGAAAATTGCAATCGGCGTTACGCTTAAGTATTTGTTGTGTCATGCCCATTCATCAATGGCTCTTTCAACCTGCAAGCACGCAAAACTCAGCTAAATCAAGTCTTTGGCATGACTCAAAATAGTGAATGTTTTTCACATGAAATATAGGTTTTGTACCACCATTTTTTCCCCGCTCTCTACCTTCTCACAAACACGATGTCACACGGTACACTATAGCAGTGCCACTAGAAAAATTGTGTTTGTGAGAAGATGGAAATTGATAGATCACAAGTTACAATCGTCTGTAAATTAATGCACATACAAAATGCGACCTGTTTATGTTCACCGTATCATTTTGGCACACAAATTAACAAATGCTTATATGTTAAATTGCCGGTAGGCGTTGCGCACTTTGCAAAAGCAAGGAGTGTCAAGGGATAAGACCCAAATTCGATTCTTGACAAATGCGCTGGGAAGCAACTATGCTAAGCATAGGGCCTCTGCAAGTACCAGGTGCAACCTCCACTTCTTGCTACGATCAAAGTCTAATTTACTCATCCTCAATGACCGTCTTTTACTTATCCTCAATGACCGTCTGACTGGGTCTGAAGAGACCCTCAAGGACGGGGTTCATCCTTTTTTTGGGATATGCTAGGGGTACACCAAAGGTGTACCCCAAATGTACACCACCATCCCTCTCTACCATTCATTTTATTTTATTTTTAGTTTTTACTTTTTTTTGAATTTTTTTGCCTTTTTTGTGTGGTAATGGAGGGGGTGGGGATGTTTGGGGTACACTTTTGGTGTACCCCTAGCATTTTCCCTTTTTTTTCTTCTATGCCAAAGTTAAGTTATTGTAACATCGGTCACTCCTACCAAATTGACCTAGTCTATTTGTGGCAAGGAAAATGCTAGGGGTACACCATTACCAAATGGTGTATCCCATTTGTCTCCCACCCCTCCATTACCACTTAAATAAGTAAGAAATTTAAAAAAAATTAAGTAAATAAAAAAAAAATAAATGAGTGGTTATGGAGGGAGTGATGTACAAATGGAGTACACTTTTGGTGTAGCCTAGCATCTCCCTTGTGGCAAAGGCTGGTCTGTACCTACATAGTAAGGCCCAAACCCCCTACCCAAAATGGGGTCCGCTAAGTGGCTAATGCATTATTATAATACTGTTGGTGTCAAGAAGGATTTTTAGACAGAGTTCACCGCCCAATGCGGGATTTTTACGAGTTGTCGATAGAGATGTTTTGGCATTTCAATTCTCTTGAAAAAAAATCTAAATATCTTATACTACATCTTCTGTCTCAGAGTATTTGTCCACTTTCATTTTTACACATTATCCAATACAATTTAATTCATTTTATCTTGTAATTTGTATATTAAAAAATTATAGAAATTATATATTAATAATCTATATGTTAAGACAAATCAAACAAGATCACACATGACTATATTTAAACTTACACATTGAGAGAATTTGATGAGTCAAAATGCTTAGATGAACAGTTCCAAAAGTCAAAACTGGACGAATAATCCGTGGCGGAGGGAGTACTCCGTAAATACTACAAGTATTTTTTTTATTATTTAGATCAAATTAGAAATAATTTTAAATATAACCTAAATGAAATTGAATCAAGAAGAACTTTAAATATACCTACAAACCTTGATAAGGTCATATCAGATGAAAAAACATGCTCTACATATCCGTATCGCAACAACATTAAAGGTTAAAATTAGTATTTTGAAAAAGTCAATCTAACACTAGCATTCAATTATTTCAATGATTCAAGTTTCAAAAAAAGAAAAAGATTGACATTTTCAATATTAATCTAAACTATAAGAGTATTAAAACGTAAATAGTAATAATAAAAAAATGTCATTTCCATTATGTGTCCGTTTGGCAACGAATTCTATCTAATTACAATCTTTAGTTTTAATGTTTTTAAACATAATCTTCATCATAAGAAAATTATCTAAAACACTCACGAAAAAACGTTTTTCCAAACAGTGCCTGCATCAACCCCAATTTTGTACTTTGCAGATAAAAAAATTACAAATGAAACTTATCCATGTTACATGAATAATATTTTTTGTGCGACGCCCATAATTTGTGTGCAAAACACAAAATGGGAGTTAGGTAAGTTTAGAAATTGCTACCTCCGTCTTAGAGTATATGTCTAATTTTGACCTTTTCAGTTAACCGTTTTCAATATTTGGTCTATAATTTATTAAAATATATATTGTATATTAATTAGATAAAATAATATTTTGAAAATATTTCATATAATAAATCTAATAAAATTGTTTTTGTATCAATAACTAATATCATCTTTGGGGTCAAAATTTACCAATTTTGACCAAAAAATTCAAAAGTAGACAAATTTTCTGAGACGGAGGCAATACATTTTTAATTAGCATAAACATTTTCGATAAGTTTTTAATATTATAAATTAACTTTGAAAATATTAGAGAACCTTATAACACCAATACCACTCGTGGTTTGGAGAAATATGCACCAATACCCAGTGGCGGACCCAGGAATTTCGGTGAGTGGGTTCACATTTTGTGCACAAAAAGAAAATGTTGATATTTGTATAGCAATAAATTTAAAACAAGGTAAAAAAGCATCAATAAATAGTATTCTGAGATAAATATTGCAAGTTGTATGTAATATTTTTGAAATACTGTATAATAAATATAATACGTTCATTGCTTTAACCAAAAAAGAAAAAAAAATTAAACAACTAAAATATTAATTCTAGAAATTTCTTCAAATACTAAGTATATTTTAGGAATCTTTTTAAAACAATTAAACTTGTTCATACATTTTAAAAAAATTGAACATTTTATAATTAAGTTTCGTAATTAAAGTTAAATCAATTTTCCAAATCTAAAAGAATTAAAACATAAAATTCTACACAATTATAAAAGGTGTTCTCTGTTCCATTTTCAAAAAAATAGCACCTAATCACATATAAATATACTCTTCTTGGATGCTCTTAATCTACATATAGTAGCTAATTACATACTACTACTAATAAATAATTTTTTTTGGAGTGGGTGCAATTGAACCCACTTGCACAACCGTAGGTCCGCCCCTGCCAATACCTCTTTTATTTTCAAAATTTGTTTTGAAAATTCCTATGGCTTCAAAACGTTACACTCGCACCCCTCTCATCATTTTCCGGCCATTTTTCCAGGTGAAGAAAGGGTATTGGTGCCTATTTTACACTCTAAAAGTTCGGGTACGGTCAGTAAAATTTATCCAACAACTGATGCATCTAAAAAACATATTTTAGTCAGAATAAGTAGTGTTTTTATTTGTTTAAGATAATGAAAAATTCAGTTTGGTGATTCTTTCACAAAAAAAAAATCAGTTTGATTTTCCAAAATCAGATAACTTAGAAGCAGAATTACCAAAAAGCTCAAAGCTAAATGAAGCATAAATGATAGATTACCATTGAAGTCATTCTGAAGCCAGAGAAAGGACCGCTTTCCTGCTTCCTTTGCCTCTCATCATCCCCATGATCCGCTCTTTGGAGCTGTGACGTCAGCTCGAGCAAATCCGCGGTCGGCCCATCCCGACCGCGGTTATCCGATCCTCGAACAACGTGATCGACCGAGTAGCTCGGCCCGTTGTCCGAAAACAACATCATCTGCTGCAAAGGAGCGTTACTATTATTATTATCGTTCTCGCAAGAGTTCATTCCTTCCCAGACCCTACTTTCGTGGGACCCAACTGGGTTGTTGCGAGAGTTCATTCCTTGTTGGACATCATTAGTTGCATTTGACATCGCGCTCGTCAGCTTCTCGGACACTCGCGCGATGTCGTAATGGTGATGGTTTTCGGTCGAAGAAGACGGGGCCCGCGACATGGGTGACAGAAGAGAGGGAGCACGTCCCGAACGCGACATGCTTTGGTGGAGATTCGACGAAGAAGACAAATTGAAACCGTTCATACTTCTTTGCAATGAGGTGTTGATATGATGATACATAGGCCCTCCCGTACATGCATTATTACTATTACTATTACTATTACTATTACTCTCACTAATCCTGCATCTGGTTATGTCGCTAATTCCACCGTCGTAAAGAGATTTCGGCGGCGGAATATGTCTGTTTGGCATGGGAATTGATGATAGTTGGGGACTGGAATCTATCCCTTCCTCAACTTTCACATTCCCGTGCCAGACATTCATCTCGTATCTCTGCGGATGCATAACGTCTTCGGGCAATACGTCCTGGTGAACGACAGAAGATGTGGAAAAAGTTGCCCCTTGAAACCTTGTACCTGCAAATTTTTTTCACGGTTAAAGTTGGTAGCAATTCAGCACATTTCTACCTGCACTTTAACGTTTTGAAAAGACTATCTAATCACATCGTTTAGTTTAAACGTTTTCAAAGTAAATCTGTGGAGCCATTATCCAAACAAGAGGAGTGGGGCCCTCGTGGTGATGATCTCTTTTCAATTAAGAAAGCAAAAAAAAGCAAGTGCAAGAATAAGATAAAGAAACTGGTACCAGATGCAATTTTTAGCAGAGAGAAATACTTATAACTAACTACTTTTTGACTAGTAAAGCTTTAAGGTTGAAACATGCTTTAAGCTTTAACCAGAATCTCATCATCATCATCTTAAGAATGAAATAATCATATATCATCAAGAATGAAAACTAAGGGCATTTTATTTAATTACCAGCAAATGTCTGAAAAAGCCTCCCTCCCCTGGCGGAGTGAGGCTTCCTTCGACGCTCGTTATGCCCCGCTAAACGTTTCCGGCAACTACGTTTGCCATCGTCAAATTCAGCCAGCAAATGGAACCTTCAACATCCAAAGCACACATAAATTAAGCACAAGAGGACCAATATAATGGAGTAACCAAATTGTGTGTACTTTCTCTTGTCTCAAACTTAGTGTGACAGAGGAAGTAATTAAAAAAAATAAAAAAGTTGTCAAATATTTTGCAAGTACACATGAAAACAGATCTGGTTTGACAGGAGTACAATAGATTGGTCAAAAAACTGTTTTCTTTTATTAAGTAAACACATAATGATGAGATCAAAGCAAATCTCACATACAAAACCAGTTTAGATTGGTTTTTTTGAAAGGATGAAGTTGATTCTTAAATTCCCATTTTAGTTGCTTAATCTGGGAGAAAAGTGTAATGAAAATAAAAAATTGCCAAAAAAAGAAAAAATAAAACTGAAAAGGAAATTGGGAATGAGCTGACCTGCTACATTGCTGACAAAACCTTTGTTCAATACCATTTACAGTGACCTTAGCAGTCTTGGAATGAACCTCACAAACCCTATGCCTTTTGTGATAATCCTTAGATGAGCTCAGATCTTTCCTGCAGCCATGGACCTGACAGCATGGAGGGCTCTGAGAATTCACCCCTCCGGTGGGGGCGGCAGCCGCCCGCATTCTCTTGGTCGGAGAAGATGACTGAGCTGATGAAGAAGACAAAGAACCATTATTATCACGGTTCATCTTCTTTGGAGGACCAAGAAACCCTCCAAGTTTCAGGTCAATTAGGGATGATGAATCTCTAGAATTTGACTCAACAGCTAATAATGATGAGGAGCTTAAAAATGCATTGGCCCTTCCTACCCCACCACCACCACCACTGTCACTAGTTAAAGACTCACCATGTGATGAAGAGCTATTTCCCAAAGCTTTTCTCACCAAATCTTGGGAATCCAATTCCACAAATTCTTGGTGATTATTCCCATCAAAATCCCACAAATTTCTACTCTTCCCAATTCCATCCCTCATTGGGACTGATGATTCATCACCCCCACCACACCCATAGCTCCAAGAACCCATTCTTTTCTATCAAAGATTCAATCTTTTCCACCCAAAGATGTGAAATTTACCAATACTCTTGGAACCCCAGAGTGGAAAGGTTGGAGGAGGAGGAGAGGGTAGAATGGAGATTGGATGTTTTAGAGAGATATTAATGAACAACATAGAAAAGTATAAGTAATAAAATTCAAAGAAGAAGCATCAAAAGTAGGCAGGTTAAATATGTGCTTCCTTAATGGAGGCAGGGCAGCTATACAAGGAAACAAGCATTATGCTAGGAAGTGAAAAAGTGGCCCACTTACTAAAATAAAAAAAAGAAAAATGGTATTGGTAGAGCTGGTAAATAGGTGAAATCGTGTTGAGTTCAATACTTTGGATTCGAATTGAAATATGTATATTGATGATCCTAGTTGCATGTTTATGAATTATGGACATTTACTCTTAGAATATTCAAATTTATGCTAGACATACATTTTGCTTTAAAAATAGGGAGTAAAAAAATTCAAACAGAATATATTCAATGTATTGTACACCCAAAGATATTTCTCCATGGTTATTTTCTTGAGGCAGGCGTGGGGAAAAATTAAATAAAAAATGCAGAAACAACAAGAAATTGGAATATCAAAGGGGAAAAAATGATCTATATAAAGAAAGTGAGGGGCGGCAAAAAAAAAGACCTGAAAGAATTGAAATTACAGAGATCCCAAACTTGATTTGGTAGATAGTAGAGTAGAGTAGAGTTGAGTCACCACTACATTGAATTCTAGAAGAAAGAAAGAAAGAAAGAAAGAAAGAAGAAGAAACAAAGGAAAAGAAAGGGAAAAAAATGAGAAAGGGGCAGTGAAGACACTACTGACGCTAGGCTGAGTGTTGTCTACTGCTTAGTTGTGAATAGAGGTGGCAATCGGGTCAACCAGATCGGTTTCGACTTGGATTTTTTCGGTTCGGATATCTTTCGGATATATGTTATAATCGGTTCGGATCGGTTTAATTTCGATCTAGATTTGATTCGGTTCGGTTCGGTTTCGAGTCGGTTCACATATGTTTAGGTTATAAAATGGTTCGAATAGATTTCGGTTCGGATACAATTTGAATCGGGTATATTTCGGTTTCGGATCTAGTTCGATTCGGATATATTTCGGTTTCGGATCAAATATATTTTGGATATATATTATTTTCTAATTAAAATTTAATTATCCATGTTTCTTTTTATGTTTTATAACATTTATCAATCTATTATTAATTCAATACCTCATATTATTTTATACTTTTTTCTAATTACATTATCTTTACCCTAAATAATCTTCCTTTTTTGACTTTTTAGTCATATTTTACAAATTTGGATTACAAATTATGAAAAAATATATATTTAATTATGATATAAATTTAATATAATTAAATTGATTTTAAAATTTAGTTTTGATAAATCAAATTTTTCTCACATTTACTAATATATTTATGTTTATAAATGAAAAGATAAAAGATAGATTCATATAGGTTTATGTTCCATTTGTATACAATTTTGTAAAAATTGAGTGGAATTGGGTGAAATTTAGTGAATTTTATTCAATTGAGTGCAACATTTATAAATTATTTGAGTGTAATTGGTTTAAATTAGATAAAATGAAATTTAGTAGCGTTAAATATAATTAATTTTACACCTAAATGTAATGGTGTAGATCAAATTTGAAAATGATAACAATAAATGCTGCCGCTAGAAAGTCTTTTGAAAATGCCAACACTAACATCTAATGTTATTGACTAATATTCAGTGAATTGGTTTAAAACTAATCAAATTAACTCTCAAACTAACAAAATTTATCGTAATGGGATGAAATTAGAATAAAATCTAGTTATTCATAAAATTGATCATATAATCCTTTCGTCCCAAAAAGAATATCACACTTCACCATTTAAAAATTACAAAAATTTTATTTGTTTGTGCATTATCATTTATTATTTGATAAAATAAACTATTATTCTTGTAACATCTTATTTTTTAAAATTTTTGACGTATTTTTTTAAATATATAGATATTTTTTATTTTTATACCAATATTTAAATAAAATAAATTTTAAAAACTTAAAATTTTTGCTTTGTTTTGCGTCATGTAGCATTCTTTCTAAGATGGAGAGAGTTTTTTCTTCAAAATAAGATTGTATAATTAGATTTTGTAACTTAAGACTGAAATTAGTACTGTATTTTTCATATAATACCTAATCAAAGACTTAATTTTTTTATCAATTTTCTTGTGCTCAAAATTCCCCCCATTCCTATTTACTTTCTCTACTTAATATTATCAATTTTCTTATGCTACCATGCGCATAAGCAAGAAAACCAAACGTGCGCAAGTGGGAATAAGATGGTTCTTGACCAAACAGAAGTGTGTACGGAGTTTTACCTTTCAACAAAGGTGTGGGGGTACGATTAATAAGATACGCAGCAGTAAGAATACAGTCACCCTAGTAGGGAATAAGTAGGTTTGCTTGGAAACGGAGGGCACGTGCTATATTAAGGATATGTTTGTGCTTGCGTTCGACTCTCCCATTTTGTTGAGGAGTCCCGACGCAAGATGATTCGAAAATTATTCCTTGAAAAGCAAAGTATGGTTTCATGCACGTGAATTCTGTCTCGTTGTCACTACGGAGTATTTTCACTTGGGTATCAAATTGATGCTGAACAAAGGAGAAGAAATTGCGCAAGACACTATGTATCTCTTCTTTATGAGTTAAAAGGTTGACCCAGGTTGCTCAAGAAAAATCATCGACAATGGTCAAAAAATACTTGGCCCCGATCCGCAAAGGTGTGCGGTACCCCCACAAATCACAATGTATTATGTTAAAAGGAACATTTGCTTTATTTAAAGTTATGGGAAAAGAATCATGACACTTTTTGGCATGAAAACATACATCACAAGGTAATGAAACATCTAAAGAGGAGAGAACAAAAAGGAAGAAAACAATAATTCTCAAGAGAGGGATGACTAAGTTGCTGATGCCACACCGCAAAATCTGCCGTCGCTCACATCGCACATGCCTTGTCATGCACTTTCTAGGTAAGGTAGTAGAGACCGCCAACTTGTTCACTCGTTCCAATCACCATCTTCGAGGAACAGTCCTGAATAACACAAGATTTGCTAGTGAACTTGATAATCAATCTTTCTTTTTCAAGAACTTGAGAGACGGAAATTAAATTGCAGTTGAGTTTGGGCACTAGTAAAACATTGGTTAGTTTCAAAGAGTTGTTGAGGTGTAAACGAATAATATCCGTGACGGATATGGCATATCCGAATCCGTATCCGTTTAAGTTTAGGAATATCCGAATCCGTATCTGTATCCGGCGGATATTTACTATACTATATCCGGATCCGTATCCGACAGATAATTATTAGTTTCGGATATATCCGAATCCGATTAGATATCCAAAAGTAACCGAATATCCGAATCCAATTAGATATCCGAAAGTAACCGAATCCGAAAATATCCGAGTCCATTAAAAATCCAATTAGATATCCAAATCTATTTATAAATAAATTAAACACAGTCCAAAACTGTAATTGAAGTCCATAATACATTAATACCAAAAAAAATTTAGAATACAAAAAAACAATAGTCAATATTTTACCAAATATCTAATAATACGAACAAAAATATAAATTTCTAATCGATAAAGTACAAATCGTATTTAATACATCTCAAAATTCTCTCAGAAAGATAATCTTTGATGCCTCCAAAATTGCAAGCTATTTCACTTGCTTCATACTTCAAAACCCACAAGGCCACAATATACCAAACCTGTTAAAAAAAAGTCAAAGTAGGAATGAAATTGTATTTCCTAAAACAACAAAATGAGATTTTAGATCTGGAATGTCAATCGAACCGAAGAGGGGCTGAAGGCGGAGGGGAATCGCCGAATTGGGAAAGAGAATTACGGAAGAGGGGTTGAACTAAGGTTAACATGTTATGTTTTGAAGTAGGTTTTTTCCTTTTTTCTTAAAAAATTTCTTTGTGGGCTTTTTCTTTTTTTACATGGTAGGGTAACATATTGGGAATTAACAAATAAATTAGTAATGGTAAACTATGTAAATACTTCATACTAGGATTATATTTATTCAAAAAATTATTCGGTATTCGAATAAACAGATATTGATAAACGGTTATTTAAACGGATGTATATTCGGATCAGATATTAAATGGATCGGATATACAATTACCATATCCGTATCCGTTTAGTAATCGGATACCTTTAATCGGATACGGATAATATCCGTTTAAAACAGATACGGATATTCCCTCTTTAAACGGATACGGATGCGGACGTTAAACGGATCGGCTATCCGTTAACAACCCTCTGCATGTGCGTCCAGCGCACTTTCACCATTAGGAAGACCCATTTTGCATTCCTTTATGGGCTAAATATTCTTCAACCTGTTTCTGTCTCCCGTCATATGTTGGCTCGCGCCACTATCATTAATCCAAGAACCATGGGTCGTACCTGAAAATTGGTTCTCACACTCGACGTTGGCCTAACCCGCAAATTGTCCTTCGCCTGTTTTGTTCCTCGGGTGCCCTATCCTGTTCACGGCGCGTCCTGCGGCAGCGCCCCACTGCCGTTGTGCTTGCCAGTTTGCGCTCCACTGCCGCCGCGGCTACCTCCACGTTTGCCACTTTGCACACGTTGTCTATCTGCCCATCATTCCGGATAACCTATTATTTGGAAATATCCACTTATTTCGTGTCCCGTTTTCCACAGTGCTTGCACTTGAGACTGTTGTCTCGACTCGGTCTTCCGATGGCCACGGCGAAACCCATAGGGTTTCGGTCTTCTTCCGTTGTCAACTTCAACACTTCTTCTTGATGCGTTATCACGGAGTAGACTCAATTGATGGAAGGAAGAGGCTTGGTGCTGAGGATGTTTGAGCGTAGGCTTCCATACCCTTCATTATCCAAGCCCATCAGAAATTGATGAACCTTCTCTTCGTCACATTATTTCTCCAGTAGTGCGGTTAAGCCACACTTGCATCCAGCACACTTGCATGCCGGCACCTTCAACATATAATACAGTTCATCCCAGATTGCCTTCAGCTTGCCATAGTGTTTAACAATCTCCTGACATTTTTGCTTCGTGTTTGCCAGTT